AGGGTTGGGGACTTGGAGCGAGTGGTGGAGCTCCCTCCCGCCGACGCCCGAGTGGGAGCTGGAGAGCGAGGTGGAAGGAACTGCAGCCGGCTGCCGCCTGCGCGCGGGGCTCCAAGGCTGTGCGTCCTCAAGGTTTTAGGGCTGCAGGAGGCGCTGCGCAGCCCAGGAACTTGTTGAGTCTGTCCTGGATCAGCCACCTGAGCAATTGGCTGACCGGGGACCCTGTGTTTTTTCTGAGGAGGAGTCCGTGGGGCCCTGTTTGATGGCTTCCTGCTGTGCCAGCTGATGCGGCCCAGGGGGACTTTGAAAACTGGAGGCTGCAGAGACTTAACTGGGAACTGTGGAGGAGTAGGCACCTGCCGCTTGGAGGCCTGGGTCAGTCACTTACCTGTGCTGGGTCAGCCTGGAGTCTGCCCCCTCCAAATGAGGACTTAGAAGGTAGAACAACTTCCAGTGGCGTGAGGTCAGAGTAGGAGTGCCTGCTGGGAATACTCCAGAACAGGCACCACTGCTTCTTGGAAGCAGGATTCTCCTGCCCAGTTGCCACACGTACCACCCATGCTCCTTAGGGGCAGAGTTGAACTCATTTGGGCCAGAGATGTATCTAGGCTACACAAGGTGCCTACACAAGAGTACCCCCTCCACAAATCGACCAGAGTATTAGGTCTTCTGATCTCTGACCTCAGCCCAGGGTCTCCGTGATGCCTGGAAAGCTGTAATGCCTGGGCCTGGGACTAAGCATGTAGCTGGCTGCAAGTCTCCTAGGCCCTTCAGTTTTCTCTCAGAGCACTCTTGAAAGTAGCCACATTTAGTGTTCTGAATATTTACAAGGAAAGAATAGAGAAATGGTGGACCCAAGAGTACTGATAGGTTGTGGAAGATGAATTGAGAGGAAAAGTGGTTAAGTCCTCGCACCCCTCTCCCACCTCCACAGACACATCGGGACTTTCACATTTTTCGCTGTATATCCTTGAGTGCCTGCCCTGGGCACCAGCCCTGTGCTCCTGTGTGCTAGCTAGGCTATCACTCCATCCTTGTTCATTAAGCTGAAATGAGCAGAGCACCCTGATTTGTATAGTGTCTGTTCTTTACAAATGGCTTTATATGAAATACTTTATTCGTCTGTATGTAGGTGCTTTGGCATGATGTGGCCAGCCATTACAGAATAAAAATATTCTAAAATACTGAGAATTTGTCTGTAGGATACAACTGTGCTCTCCTTGAGGTCCAGATATCCCCAGGAAGGGAATCCTGAACCCATGCATTCAAACATTGCCCAACTCAGATTTTAAAAAATATCTTACTGGACCCATATCCCCCAAGTCTGATTGTCATTCCATTTACTCCTCTCTGTAACCAGGGAGGCAGTTGGGAGTAGACTAGAGAGGCATACCTAGTGAGGTGTGCACAGCCTACAAACCTGCAGCTGCCTCTGCTGCCCAGAGGAGCCAGAAAGGTGTCTAAGACTTGGGGAAATTTAACACCAGATGGCAGTGGTTCCTGCTACTGACCCCTTTATCATATTCCTTTTGCAGATGAGGTTTTGCAACTGTGGGCTCCAGGGATTCTCTCAGAGGTATAGGGAACTTTGCGTAAATCTTGCTTTATTGCAAATCCAAAGAATTAAAATCTGCCTTCCATCTCTTAAACGTGCCATTGTAAATAAAACACAAAAATGGTGCTGGTGGTTAGAGAAAGCTAAAGTTTTAGGGGCCACGATTGCAAACAGATAAACATACATGTATGTACAGGAGGGCAGCATCAGCCGTTGATGGCACTAAAGAGCTGGCAGGAAAACACCTCCAAGGATGGTGCTATTTGAGATGCCTCTAGGAAGAAAGAGAAGCGCTGTAAATGGCAGATTAGAAAATCTACTTATGTGAAGAAAAGAGTTTAATTGAGCTTTGTAGCTTCATCAAAACTGTTTTGAGTTGTTCACTTGCCTCATAGACTTTAGTTGTTTCTCTCAGTCAATTAAAATTATTGGTACCCTTCCTCTTTTCTGAAGAACTCATTTACCTGTTGCACTACCAAAGTGCCAATCTTTAGCATCACAAATTAGAATTATGATGAGCACTTGTCTCACCAGACCTTTGGCTGTGGATGAGTGTTCCACATGCAGAGCTCGCATGTATCATCATACTTGGATCTTTAAAGCAAATGCCATGTTAGAGGCTGACTAAAGGTGTTCAGGCTGTCTTCCTATACAGACCTTCATTGCATTATGATTATTTTTTATTGACAGAGTGCATGCATATTTTTAGAAGCAATGAATTTTTTTAATTTACCTTCCTCAGAAAAGGGAATGATATGATAGTAGATTAAACTCAGGAATCCATTTGCTATAAATTGCTTTCCTGTATTTTGTTTCAAAATTTTGCTTAAGAAATGGCAGATATGCAAATGGGGAAAATAGCTACCCTCCAAGAGGAATTTCCTGAACGCAGAGGCTTCTAGAGAATAGAAATAAATAAATACACATACACACACGCACACACACACACACACACACACACGGCAGCTAACTAATCAGGCTTCCTTTGCCTAGTTGTTGGAAGTGTGCATGTATTGTATGCAATTCTGTATGCAGGAGTGCTGGAATTCTAATCCCATAGTATACTAAGTTCCATGTCTTGATTTCCACTTTCAGAAGCACTAAGAATATACAAGTCAAAGATACTCTAGACTGTTCATAATAATTTTGTTTATATTAGTTCCAGGCTACAAAATAACCCAAATACCTATCTACATTGGAATGGATAGAAATGTATTGGTTTATTCATAGTCTAGCAGCAGCAGCACCACCACCACCAACAATAAAACCCTTAGTGTCTGATGCATGCAGCAGTGTGGGAACTTTTACAAACATACTGCAGAAAAAAGAGCCAGACTTAATATAGATCAAATGATTCATTTACGATAAAGTCTAAGCTCGTGAAAGAGTTATCAATGGTGGTATGAGTCAGAGTGATGGTTACTATTGAGGAACGGTATTGGCACAAGGCCTCAGCACCTTTACTCGTGCTGTTCTGTGTCTTGAGTTTGGTACTGTCGGTCCCTAGTTGTACACATACATAGAACTGCATCACCTTCTCTTGTTTCAGTTTGATTCCACTTTGTCTGAGCATAGCCACCGAGTCATTGCAGTGTACACATACTGCTAATTCATCCCTTTAAATGAACCATCTTATTACTCAGTGAGATTAACTTGTATCTACTGAATTCACTTCCTCTTTGAAACCTAAGATAAGGAAAAAACAGAGGTGTTTGCAGACCAACTGCTGCCATGGATAAAATGTCTTAAGTAGCTCCCGGTGAGGCTACTCATGGATACCTGTCTTCCTCACTTCCTCACTATCAGATGCATCTATGTCATCAGAGTTCAGTGGAGACAGTTTTCCCACCTCTTACTTTTAATATTCTTGAGTGACTCTGGGTAAGCAGGTTTTATCTTCCATTTCAGAAGCTGCAGTAACCATCAGCCTGCGTGCCACTCCTACAAAGGAGAGGCAGCTCATATCCAGTGCACCTACAGGATTGAGATCAGTAACATCAGGAAGTTTTACTTTCTCTTTCAAGAACAAGAGGGGCAAAGCACTCAAAAGGCTCTCTAGCCAGCCCTCATCTTTGACTGAGAGACCTGTGAGAAGCCCTTTAGGATCATTCCCTTTGTCATACTGGACTCACACGCTCACTGTCTGCTTTAGAACGCTTCTCAACTCCTAGTCTGCTTTTCTTTCTATAATGAGAGATTAGAAATAGTTTATTAGCTCAAAGTATAGTTTGAGAAAAACAGTGTTATGAAGATTGGTTGAAATCCTTGGTTTTCTGTACATCATTATGAATCTATGTTTTTTATATATAATGGGATTATTTCATTTTTAAAAAGAACAAAAGTCGCTCTAGGTTCTCTTTAATATACCACTGAACAGTAGTGGTAATCATTGAGAAAGAACAGAGGGTGAATATTTGCTTCTTGTTTCCCCCTGCCTACCTTCAAAACCTCTCATGTGCAGGGCTGTCATCAAGCACAAAAGCTTCCACTCTTAAAGTCAGTTGTCTCTTCCTTCCGCTAGTTGGACTCACCAAGGAAATAAACATGTACACTATTTTGTTGACCTTAATTTGGTCGGTCTATGAGACGAAGTCCATAGGGTTTTCTTATTATCCAGGTCTAATTTACCCAGGACCAAACCTCTTCAGGCAGAGGTAGATGGCTAATGGGCACTTCTTAATCCCTGCTGGTAAGGCACCCGTTTCTGAACCTGCTGAAGCCAACTTCTCAGAAAGCAGCTCATATGCCATGGCCAAAGACTGATACCTTTGACCAGAAATAGGTCAAGAAGGGATAA